GTGTGTTGGGATGAATATAAAATGCATATATTGGTTTGTTTGAACTCTTATTTAAAAGATCCATTTTTTAATGTATGTTTTTGAAATTTAATTGTAGCTTTCACTATTATTGAGAGTAAACAGGCAGGTCGTGCCCACCCTGTGACCTGAGGGCTGAAGCCTTGCCATTGGTTCCCCAGATGTGCTGCCCATAGCTGCCACTGATGCCACGTTTCCTTACACTATAAATAGACAACACAAGGCCTTTGTGTGCTTAAAAGAAAAACACCTATATAAAGTCATAGCACTTTACATTTTGTTCACATGCAGTAGCTTTATTGTGCAGGCATGATCAGGAAAAAACTGCATTTCTAAGCAGAGTTGCAGCAGAGACATTTGAAGGAACAGCAGTTGAAATGAAGGGAAAAGAATCATGAGCCCAGTTCTCAATGTAGCAGTTTTGTGCATGTGATGCCTGATGCTGTTACACATTGCTATGCATACTGCCAGCAAGAAAGTATTTTTTTTTTCTTAGATGGTGCAGAACTTTGAAGATGAGAGTTGCTTCTTAGTTACCACAATAAAAGGTATGTATGCTCCTAACTAAGATGGATAAAGTCTTCAATGTGGAATATGATCTAAGATGCTTGAGGTTATCCCAAAATAACAGCCTTTGAGTTACAAGGGGTAGGGATTCAAAGATTTTAACTGCAGCGCATTCATTCCCCAGTTCTCCTTGTCATTTTGACTTTGTGTTTCTATATTCATACAGTTGTACCCCAGAGATAATGGTTGAGATTCAGAAATGTGACATCACACTATTTTTGTGAGAGGCTTCCTAAGAAATTTCCTTTGCTTTTTCTCAAACTAAAATGAACATAAGAACATAAGAGATGCCAATGTTGGATCAGGCCAAAGGCCCATCCAGTCCAACACTCTGTATCACACAGTGGCCAGAAATACCAGTGCCATCAGGAGGTCCACCAGTGGGGCCAGGACATTAGAAGCCCTCCCACTGTTGACCCCCCAAAGCACCAAGATGACATTTCAAAAGCAGTTTGATCAGATAGCCACATAAGGGCATGCTGGATTTACTGTTGAGTACCTGAAGTGGTACTCGATCAAGGAAGTCACAGCCCTCAGTTTGCAAGACCTGAGCAAGGCTGTTAAGAACAGGACATTTTGGAGAAGGTTAATTTATAGGGTCGCCATAGATCAGAAGTGACAGCAGCATTTAACACACAGACACGCACCTGAAGTGGACAAGTCTTCATGTGCAATAAAGACCCAGAGCCATCTGAAATGAATACATAAACATATCCATATAGCCATGAAAGCTGACCTTGGGTCAGTCACACAGTCTGTCCCACAGGATTCTTGTGAGGATAGAAAGGGGAAAAGGAGAACCATATTCAACTCTTAGGTTACTGGAGGAAATCCATGATAAACATGTGCTAAATTAACAACTCTAACCCAACTAAAAAGTGATGAAATGACCTGTACAGAAAAGAGCCTTCCTCATATATGCTGCTTGAGGTGGAAGAAAAAAGGTTTTTCACTAGTCATTGTTGCTGGTTTAATGAGAAATAGTCCCCGTTTTACTTTTGTAAGATGCGTTTCTTTTTTTCCTGATCTTGTCTTAGTACTTTAATAAGATGGATGGATAGGCCACCTTTAAATATTATCATGTGGTGAGGAGAGTCCCCTATTCTTGTCATGATCTCTTCTCAGTGGGCTTAAATGATTTGGTTGTTCCTTGCCCTTGCTATTTAATGTGTTCCTAATAGGCTTGTAGAAACCAAACATCTGTTTTGGGCTCTGCTTGGGAAGAAAGTGTTGGCTTTGACCACTGTGGATCAACCTACATTTTTACCTCACTACACCAGCCTATATTGGCTCCATTGGACTGAGTGTTTCTGCTTTTACTTCAACTCTGGTATTGATACCTGCTTCCATGCCTTCACTTCTATACATATGTGGTTCTCCTGAACACTACCTGAGTATTTCAGAGCATGATAAAACTAGGGGTGAACACAGGCATGATGCAGGCCTGAACACTTGAACTTCTCCCTTGTGAGGCATGTTCATGTTTTTCAGGACAAAACCATTTTATCCGAAAGTGGTGGATGTTCAGTTGCTAGATGAGCTTGATTTGGGTCATGAATTCTGCCTTTAGTTCTACTGCTGATTAATGAGTAATTGTTAATATCTTATGCTCTGTACTTAAAATGTATTGATATTTGGGTCATGAATTCTGTCTTTAGTTCTACTGCTGATTAATAATTGTTAATCTTATGCTCTGTACTTAAAATGTATTGATCATATTCTGGTAAACTTGTGAAACCTATGGGGCTTACTTTGCCCACATAATACCTGTGCTCCACTGTAGTGTGGCTTCTTATCCCTCATTTTGGATGGTGAGATCCTGCCCTTCTTGCCTTGAAGATTATCAGTTTTGTTTTTTAAGATACATCTTCGGTCTGTGAGACACTTCTATTGTGGGAGAGGCTATAGTGACCAGAGCAGATACTGATGTAATCAAGATTTTGATAGTAGATTTTATTCTTGAGGTAGCATTCTTGTTTCCCTTCTGTTCAGTCTCATCAGAGTTAAAGGGCTGTTATGGCCATCACCATTTGAGGACTTTCCATTGAGTGTTAACGACGGCCACAAGATCGATGCTGCCAATAGCCAGCTATGGCTTTATTGTCATTTGTGACACTGAGATTGCCATTGCCTCCATTCACCACATTATTACCAGTATTTCAGTAACCTGCCCTTCTTTTGGTTAGTTCCGACTGTCCTGTATTCAAACTGGGGTTTTCTGTGAAAAGCAATTTTAGCTCTTGAGCTGTGGTTGGCAATGAGATAGTGATCCAGAACCCATTTATGGTTAGAAATACCATTTCCCGAGATGTGGACCAGAAGGTGACTTTGTGGGGAGTAATGGAGGTGCTGTTGCTTTTTTGGTTTTGCACCTTCCTTGAGACTAATAATTTTGAAATGAAATTTTAAAATCCTACTCGTAACTGGCTACTATAATTTTAAATTATATCAGTCTTATTGGTATTCATTTTTCTTTCCACAGATGAAAATGGTGATGGCTTCCATATAATTTTGAAGTGATATTGCCATATACCTATGATGGACTGATATTCCCGTATAGAATGAAGTCACGCTCAAGAATGACCAGTTAACATCCAAGTCTCTTCAGAGATCTGACTTCACCGTATAGAATGTTTCATATTGAAAACACAAGATGACCTTTCTAATGAGCTGTTTAGTAGATCACTGCCATAGCCAAATGTCCTCATAAGAGGTATAAATGCCATGACAGCTTATGTACAGGCATGGAAAAAGCAAAGTAAACAAAGGTGTTTGCCCTTTTTTAAATAAGGCAAGCTATGGCCAGTAGATGCAGTTTCTAGAAGCAGTACTGCTTTCCTATTACACTGTATCCAGTTTGAATGTAAACTTATTCTGGGCATTTACCTTTCTGTGCCAGTTTGTCTATTACTTGCTTGTACCTTATGCTGATTTTTTATGTTAGCAGAGCACATAGTAATTTGTGTGGAGATACGTAGTAAAGATGATAGCAATCAGGTTTTTGGGTCTTGAAAGTAAAGCTGTTAAAACAGCATCCTCTGTGTAAAGTGTGTATAAGCGTGAATGTAAGAAGTGCAAATGTCAGAGTTGGACTTGATTGAAGCCCCTAGCCCAATGAAAACGAAGCATGCAGCAGAATGCATTACTATTAGTACCTAACTGAGAGGGACTGGTATAAATCCTGTAAGGTACAATATTTTGCTTTGTAATGGGTTCATTGAAGAAGATCTTCCTATGCATCATGTCTTTTAGTTTTTCTATGAAGCACTGTTGCAGTTCAAGTTTTTCATTTTTTAAAACTACCTTTTTAAATAGTGATGGGTTGGGACTTCCTTATGGAGAAAAAGGGAATGACATATGGTCACCAAGGGACAATGTTGAAGCAGCTAAACAAGAATCCAGAAATCACTAAAACACTAAAACAACAAGCTGCTATTCTTAATTACAGAATATATCCTCCCATGATTGCTCCTGTGTGTGAACTGTCGCTTCCTGTTTTTCTCTAGCCTCTTACAGAGAAAACATTGTTACAGTGCCTCTTTCATACAACCAAATACTTGACTGGTAGATACACATTGTCATGAATTAACTGCAAAAATGTTCTTAAAGATATGAAAATGTATGTCTTTCCCTGAATTCTTTATGGAGGTACTTCAGTATGGCTCTTTAATCAAATAATTCAGTCTTGAATGATATTGTTAAAACTTGAGGAGAAAAACAGCAGCATGTCAAAAAATTTCATTCCCAGTTGAGTACTCTAGGCTGTGTGCTTAGCAAAAAGTTTAAAAGCTTTTTTAAAAAAAAATATAGTTCCTTCATGACTTAGAATGAATGCTTGCTTTCCCCCCCTCTTGATCTGTACTGTTCTGCACTGATGGGGAGAGGGGGTGGTGTTTGTGAACCTAGTTTAAGTATTTTGAGTTTTTCTGCCTATAAATTATTTTTGGTTGTATTGGGGTGTCTTGAATTGACTTGCCATCTCAGCACCGTTTTCTAAATTTGTGGAAAATCTTTGAAAAGTCACTAAATTCTAAAAGCTATTAAAAATTGTATAGTAGCTTGGTTCACTTGGGATTTAATTATGGCACCAGCAAATTGCTTTTGTTTTTAAACGGGATGTACACATTTCAATTTCAGTAAAAAACTTTTTCCAATAACTTGACAAGTTTATTTTCCCAAGTCTGCTTTTGTAAAAATCAAGTAAGTAATACTGGAAGTGTAGGTGATAGAGGTGGAGAAAATATTTCACCCCCTTCCCACTTATAATTTCTTGAACTCGGAATAGGATACTGGTGGATAATTGAGATGATACATACAACTTTCTGGTCTTCAAAGTGTGTTGCTCATAAAAACTTGAAGTAGAAATCAAATTGCCATCTTTTGCATTTGAAATGACTGAAACAGTCTAAATATGGGTGACTTTATTTAAATAGTATCCTGTATAAAATTATTTTACTTGGAGCAAGTATTTTAACTCAAACATTTGACTTATAAAGCCACACATCAACACAATTTGATTTGACAAGCTGTTTTTCTTTTACAACGTGGTTACCATAGACAGATAGCAAATCTTAGATATGTGCTGCTGTAAATATTTTACCAGCTGTAGGGGTATCCTATTATTGATGCTCTCAAAACAGTATTGATATAGCCTTGTAGTGTTTTGTTAACTTTTTTTATGTAGTCTGCATTTCAAATCTTGCTCCAAAAGAGTTAACACTTACTATAAAATTTTGTGCCAGTCAAATGCCTTCCCCCTTTAGCTAAAGCATCTGAATAATTTTTTGTCAGCAAAATTTAAAAAGCATTAATGAAGAAAAAAATTGGAATGCTTAGAGTACAGCTCATAAGTTGTGTTTTTTAGAAAATTTATTTTCTAAAAAACGTGCGTATTCCTTCCAACGCTAGCATTTCTTACAAAATGTCTTCTTACTAGGAAAACATTCAGTAGTTACTGGGTATTTGACTTACATTGACTTCCAGTTAAAAAAGCATATATAATTGCACACAATTGTCCATATTTTGAGTATAAATCTGGTAGGTCGGAATTGGCAGCAGTACATCTTAGGGTGAGAAAATATGGGAATCTTCTCATCGTAAAGGAAGAGGATATGCCTCTGCAGCAATAATGCAAGTGTTGAGGGCATCCTATCCTTCAGCACTGAGTTGCCTGCCGGCTATGAGAGAGGCCAGTGAAACAACCTCATATAGGCAAAGGAGTCAATGCCCCTCCCAAGTGTGCAATCCAGTATGTTTAATCAATTTTTTCAGAGCAACTCCATCCTTGACAACCATTTGAGACAGCTCCAGCTTTAGGAATTTTAGAGAGGCATTTATTTATTTGTGTTGAAAACATGGCAAATAGTTTGAGAATTAGTAAGACTTCTAGCTATGCATATTTCTTGATTAACACAGTAGATTTAAAGGTGGGATACACCCATGGGATGAGGTCATTTCCACTATTACTTGCTGAAATGTTCTGTCAATAAAGCCCATGTAAAAGCTATACAGCTATATTGTATGCCGTTTTACCATCAGCCATACAATAATCCTTTATAACTTTTCAAGAACTGATTTATCAGTCTGCTGCAATATTATAACAGCTTCTTAAATTTCTCTAGCATGGCAGATTCTCATTCAGCAGATATAGTAATTTGGCTTTTTTAAAGTGTAGACATTGGTTTGAAATACTTGGAACTATGATTTAATTGACGGTTGTTCATGAAATAACTCTGGTATAACAATGAAACATTCTTGTTGGGCTGCTTCTGTTGAAGATTGTGTTTTGACTATTGCCTGTGTTTGAGCTGGAATTACCACCAATGTAGTAGAGTTCTACTTTTGGTAATTTTAATTTTTTTTAGCTAGTAGAACCAATCTGATATCAAATCTGGATTGCACTAGCAGAAAGGTTAGAACAGAACGTCAGCATTATTCACATCTGCATAAAATATATTTTACCTGTAAACTTGCATGGGCATTACAACCAGTGCAGAATAAGATGGCTGGGATGGCATTGTTTTGAAGGTGGCCAATGGACGCCTGCCACTGTTTTCCTTCGCTGAACTGGTCATCAGCCCAGCTCTTCGCCTGTTAAAGAATGATGCAGCATCGGCAGAGTCGCTGTCGAGTACCTCCTACAGAAGGAGGTGGAGTTACTGGAGCAAAGTAAGCATGAACTTTCACAGCTGGTAGATGAGCCTGCAGACAGAAATCAATTCTTAATAGACCTCTTACCTTCATAGAAACCTTAACATTTATTCTGTTGTGTATGACTATAAGGGGGGTGTTTGGTTTTAACAGTGGAACACCCACAACTATAGAATGGTTAAATGAAAGCATACTAATTCAGAAGTCATAATAGCACAGAAGAAAAATAATGCAAGTTGTATGTTCAGACTGTGTTGTTCCTGGAAAGGGACAACCCATCTAAGACTTAGAAAACAAAATTAGGAAGTTTTATAGAATCCTGACCCAGATCTATCAGGGAAACATGAGAATGGGCTTTATTTTTTTTAAGGTAACTGGTTAGATTTGATTTACTTTTTTGAAAACTTGCCCAAACCAGTTTGTTAATCTGCATTTGAATACTGTGGTTAGCAAAAATATTGTAGCATACATGTTAACCATAATTAATCTTCAAACTGGATGGACTAAAAATGCCCATGTAAGAGGAGAGGAAAGAACTGGTTTGGCAACTGTGCAGACTTAGGTGTGCACAATAGGCAGTGGTGTTCTAAGAATTCAGTTCCCAGGACAGCAAAAGTTGATCACTACTTGAGTTGTCTGCTGGAGTCCACTTAAAGAAATCCATCTCAAAAATGGATAAACTGTCAACTTTTAAACAAAGCGGGACTTCTACAGCAGCTGTATTCATACCAATTAATAGTATCACTGCTGAGCAAGCAGCCTTCAACACTACCAGCGCTTCATTAGACATCATGAAGTCAATGCACCTTGGAGCATTTGAATAATACATACTCTTATTCTTTTGATGCCTGCACGGGTGACTTGTTGACAATCGTATAGCTCAATTCTCTCTAAGTTGTGGCAGTTCTCGAGGTGTTCAAGAGTCACATCTGTAATTAGCAGGCAGTTGTCCAACTCTAATACCTGGAGACGTTCATGCCCACATGTGCTGCTGCTCAGGTGCAGAATCCCATCATCTGTGATTAGTTCACAGTGCGACAAACTCTGTAACAGAACAACGCTATTAGTGAGGTTCCATGTACCTCTCTGCAAAGAACTTTTAAAGCTACTTCTTGGGGGGTTTTCTGCCAGGAGGGTTTGCAATCTCAACCATTCTCTACTGAAACAAGACAGCAATCAGGCCTACCCTAGAATCTACACAGCTCCATATACTTGCTAAGGCCTCCTGGGCATGCAGAGCTGATGGGATGCAAGGCATCAGCTTGAACTGATGTGGCCAGCTCTAGGCTAGTCCACCGCCAGTACTGGCTGTCCCCTATCCACAGGGGAGAGAAAATCGGCAGCAGAAGATTAGTAGTTGGAGGCAGTCAGCAAGTTGTTAGTCCTCCAAAGGCTTAGGCCAGAGTGCCCCCCCCCCAAGTAAAAAATCCTCCCAGTGGAGAAAATTGCTAGAGCAGAGGTGTCAAACTTAAGACCTGGGGGCCAGAGCCAACCCATCCAGGGCTCTTATGCAGCCTGCGAGCAACTAGTGCAAAGGAGGGAACAGGAGACTGGGGGGGGGGGCAGAGCCACTCCGATTGTGGCTTCAGTGTGGCGGAACAACCTCATCTGCAGCAGTCTAGCAGTTCGTTTGGACCCCCCTCACAGCCCATGGGGTCTTGTATTGAGGATACACCAACTCGGAGCTTACCAGCTGCTGTCATTTATACAGTTTATATCTCTGGTACCTGGTATTACGTTTTATGGCACACATGGCCCAGCCCAACAAAGTGAGATTTATGTCAGATCCAGCCCTCATGATAAATGAGTTCAACACCACTTTGGTAAAGGCTGAGCCATAAGTGGATCTGTGGGATCCCCCCTCCCATTTTTTAGGAGGGGAGGTTTGGAAGAAAAGGAAATTGGGGAGCTGGAGCACCGCCTCAGGACAGTGGGAGTCTTTAACAAGAGATCTGCAAATGCCCTTCCTACAAAGCAAGGAGGAACAACCCATACAAGTATACCTTACTCCACTGATGGAGTAGTAACAGAGATCACAAACTATGTCTTGTAGAGTCTCTGAAGCCTTCCACAGACCCTTACAACACAACAGTCCTCTTCCCTCAAGATTTTTTTAAAAAGTCAGAGATGGAAAGGAACTTTATGGAACGATTTTTTCCAGTAATGCCAGAAAGCTAAACACCCCTCCAAAGAATATCATATCTGTTCTCTCTACAAGTTCTTCCCATGATGCCTTAGTATTTCAGGGGCTACCCCAGATTGAGATGATCTGTCAACTGATCTAGGGAAGAATTAAGGTCTTAGCTATCGTGAAGCCTTCGCTATCAGCGTGGTTTCTAGTATTTTATAAGGAAGGCCCTGTTGCCTAGGCAAGGAATAATTTTGCTGGAATTCCCCATATCTTAAAATAAGGGAAGGGGTTCAGAAGTTTGCCCAAGTATTATTATCATGTCTGATTCCAGTTTAGATTGCATACCGTTCACATCCGTATGAATGGTAATAATAGTGAAGTACCACGTGTTTGATTTACTGGGATATTGCCAGGTGACTGAAACCTACAAGTCCAGTGGTAGGAGGCAAAAATTAAAGAGCCCTTTTAAGGATGACCTAGGAGAAACAAAATACCAGCACGCATCCTGAGCTGTTTGCACTGTAACCATAGGAATGAGCCTCGTCTCCAGCTCTAGAGGAAGGCTGGAATTGTCCATGTTACACTATGCTACAGAAATGAGTGCCATTGTAAAAACTTGAAAAAGTGGGAGGGGGGATATAGCAGCTCTAAAGCACGATGTGATGTCACAGACAAGCCACCCACCTATCCCGCTCTTGATATAGCTGGGAAAGCACATGATAAAACCTTGCTGAAGCCAAGCAGATCAGGATCCAGTTAATGGAAGAAAGGCAGAATACAAATGTAGTTACATACATTAGTACACAAAATAATATCTGCCCTTAAAGCCAGCCAGCCAGCCACTGGCACTAAGACAGCCACACACTACAGAAGCTAGCAATACACTGATCCTGGATACTGCATCCACTATATTGAACAAATTCCTTGTCACCCTGCCATCGGCAACGTTTGTATTTTATTTAACTGAATTTACACCCTACCTTTCTTCCATGATGGCACTGAAAGTAGCTTATGCAGGATTCTCAAGAAATCTACCATATAGATACTGACCACATCCATACCTGCTTAGCTGCAACAAGGTTGCTCTATCCTCCAACCATATCATGGGGCCCAAATGATTGGGTCTCAAATTACAGCAGCCATTCTTTAGAAAATGCAGTGCATGATTTCATTGTGTCATAACGCCGAGACTCCAGTCAGATATTTTCCCTCATGATTCTTCCCCCCCCCTCCCCGGAAAACAACAGTATTTAAGTCTGTTGTTAAGAGAATACACATGCAGACTAACATGTTTGCATTAAATTCAGAGTTCTTTCTAATTCAGATTAATTTTTCAATAAATTTAATGTAACTAGATTTTTAAATTTAAGGACAGCTGTCAATTTAAAAAATTGTATTCACCTTAATTTCCAATAGTAATTTTATGGCCCTGCATATTTCATTGTCCCTGCAAATGTCATACACTGCTAAACTTAAATTTCCTAGTTCCAAGTATATTCTAGCAAAGAGATGAAAGAGAGTGCTTAAGCAAACCTAATTGGTTTATTTTTCAAAAAAAAAAAGTAATGTAAAACTTGCCAGTGCTTCCAGTTTAGGACAGTGAATTGAAAGTTGTATCAATGTGTTGTCTGTTATCTAGAAAGCAAAGAATAACTTATATTCAAAACAATGTGGAATACCATGATGGACAAAACTTATCTTCTGAGGCAATTGTTTGTCTGTAAATTCTTGTGAGACACCAAGAACTATTTATACATTTCACTGGATTTAACACAGTGCCCTTGTACAAATGGCTCTCACCAGAACACATTCTTCTAGGTCCATCTTTTCTAGGTCATGGCAATTCTACAAATTAGAACAGACATGGCACAATCAAAAACAAGACAAAACTTTAGATTTTCATTGATACTTTTAGATATTTTCTACAGGCCTGGCAACAGAAATCTAAAATGATGCAAATGGAAAACATGCATTATCATTTGGGTTTATTTTTCCTATCATTCAGCAAGCAGTCTAATTCATTATAACCCAACATTACTAGTCAGTGCAATTCCATGCCAATTTATTATAGCAAAATAACATGGTATTCCAATGGCACTTTATAGACCAACAACATTCTAGCATGGTCATTCAAGAGACAGAGCTCACTTTTACAGATGCATGTTGGTAGGGAATCATTTTGCAAACTGCATTTTGCACAGAAACGCCAGTGTGTTTCTGGAATACTGAATATACATAAGCACAACAATTCTACGTTCAGGGCTAAAAGACACTGTCATTCAAGAACATGCCTTTTGTTCCCTAAATAAGAAATGCCTTCCTTACAACCTAGTAAAATACTGATACTTGAGACCCTGATTTTTACAATCCAGTGTAGTGTAGTTGCTATACTAGGTTTTGGAAAACCCAAGTACAAGTTCCTGCATCACTGAAGTTTAGGCCTTAAGGAAGTATCTGTCTTTTAGCTCAACTTTCCTACAAGTTATCATGAGACTAAAATGTTGGTCTTGAGTTCTTTGGAATACTACATTATAAAATTAACCTTACCTACCCTTGCTAGAAGTGTAAAACCAGCATCTGTGAGATGAGAACATCTTGCAGCCTCCAAAATCCTGAAATGTAATTTAAATATTTTAGAGCTTAGAACAATTAGAAGCAATTCCTTATGATGATGCTATGAACCAAGTATGTGTGACTAATTCTATAAAAAAGCTGGAGCAGTACCCATGGCTCTGGAATATGGCTCTACTATATCTGGCCTGGGGATATCAATGCTTATACCTTAGTCCTATAAGATGGCTATAATGCTACTATGACTGTTATAACTACCATGATCTTTTTGATTTGGATAGGAAGATATTTCCCATTTAGAGTTGAAACTGCATGTGACTAAAGTCCAAGACGGTGGTGAAGATCCAGAATTACAGACTCTGCTCATCAGAATCACTCCAAGGCTCTGAGCAGCTGAAGAGCCTACATCCTCTTGTATTCATATCAATATATTAAAGGCTACATTACTATAATGTACTACTAAATTTGGGTGTCCCATGACCTGACCAGACCTGACAGCCTGCTTTTTGATGGAGTTTGGTCATCTAACGCATATTGCACTGGGTTATACTGAAATCTATTTACATTCAGTCTTTCTTCCATGGAATGTAAGGCAACATACACAGGGGTCTCAGGAGATCTTCCATCCAAACACTGAGCAGATCTGCTTTACCTTCAGATAGGATGCTGCATTACATGCCTTCAAATATGCCATCTGCATTTGCCAGCTACAAGATGCTGGTTCAGAACAGTCAACAGTTAAAATTTGTAGTATATAGATACAAGTGGGGGCCCAAGAGACTTGCAGGGGGGAATCCCATCTTCCCCCACTCTCTTACTGAGCTAACACAGTTCCTGGGCTTTTCAGCTGCTGCTGCCAGGCCCAGTGTGGAGTCCCGGGCTTTTTGGCAGCCACTGCCAGGCCCAGTACGGCCCTTGTGTTCTCCCTGGGCTGTGCTGCCGCTGCTGGGCCCAGCACAGCTCCCTGTCTTCTCCAACTGCCAGAGGTTGGTGCATTCTCTGCACTTGCACAGAGAAAACAAAGTTGCACTTATCTGTAATTATTGTTCACTGAGTATCTTCTGTGCAGGCACACATGGGGACTGCGCATGTGCAAGCCTGCCATCAGATAAGTGTTTACGGCTAAGAGCCTCCAGGGGTGCTCAGCACCAGGGCCAAGACTATTCCCACCTAGAGACACAGGCTCCTGTGAGGTAGTACCCTCACTACCCTCAGCACATATAGCACTGTCGAAGCCAGAGCATGCAGCGGGGCAGGAGGGAGGGTATGTGTGCCTGCACAGAAGGTATTTGCTGAACAATAGTTACAAGTTAAGTGCAACGTTGTTTTCATCACTGATCTTCTGTCCAACCAATTTAGAGTCCAATGGCACCTTTAAGACCAACGAAGGTTTATTCAAGGTATGAACTTTTGTGTGCACACACACTTTATCAAATACATTAGAATGGCAGTCAAGGTTCAAACTTCTAGCCAGAGAATTAACAGCAAATTAACATGCAACATGATGATGATCAAGATATGCAAAGTGACACTAAACAACAAGTTAAGGTTATAAGGTCAACAGTTGTAAAGCAAGAAATATGTCAAACTAGCAGATAAATGTCTAAAGGTTTCATTTCTAATTGTAGGAAGTGGCTAGGAATCTTCATTCTCTCCTGCCAGGCATGGAGGGCACTTAACCTGACATCCCCCTCCAAAAAATGCTGTTATGCCAGCAGACATCCTAATATCCTTTTCATACATTCAGTATTCTAATATAATATTCTGAAAAAGAAATACACTAAAATACATTAAAATACAGAGGATTTATAGTCCTTCTTGCTGAGAATACATATGTGAGGACTGAATGAGTTAGCATACATAATGAGATAAAAAACCAATAAATATGTTCCTTTGGATAAATAGGCTGTTGAAGACCACCTAATGGACGTAGGACAGGTCTGGGGATAGAGAATCTGTGCCACAAGGCATGAACCCCAGCTCTGAAACAGGACAAGAACTAGAGCTGAGGGTCACATATGTAACCCCACCATAGGGAAAACAGCAGTAGTGGATGCTATGAATCCAAACAAGCGCAAATTTTTCAGAACCAACTGGAACCGATATAGTCTAAACTAACTTGTCAAACCAATGACAGCCTGTAGCCTTTTGTGAGGCAGAAAATGAGGGTGTGCATTCAATTTATCTGAGACAGAAAAATACCTGAAAAAATACCTTGCTGGGATTTTTCAGGTATTTTTAAGCCAAACGCAGATCAGAGATCCGTATTTGGCTACTGGTATAGCTGACCTGGAAAAAGCTGATTTTTTTCCGGCTTCTATTTGGGTGCATTCAGCTATGCCAAGAAGGCATTTAAACAGATCACAGTTTCTTTCAATCCCTTCTCCTCCAAGCCCCACCACAGCGCAACTCAGCCTTCTGTCAAAGTCTCTTTAAATGCCTATTACCTACTCCTCCAAGCCTCACCACGTGACTTGGCTAGTGAACTCACTTGCTGAGTCGTGTCCACACTGCCGTGCTTGGAGAAGGCAGTAGGCATTTAAAGAGACCATGGTTTCTTTAAATGCTTACCCCACCTGCTGCTGCACCATGACTCGGCTAGTGACCTCAGAAGACACATGCCTTCTGTGTTCACTTGATGAGTCGTGCCACCACCTCTGCTCTTGGAGAAGGCAGTAGGCATTAAAGAGACCGTGGAACACTTCTTATATAAGGCCTTCTGAGCCATCACAATGTTTTGGAAAGCAAAGTAGCTTCACAATCTCAGCAAATATCTACACAATAGCTGGAGACTTGAATGCAAACAACTAACTCCTTTGGCAGCAAAAAGGAACGGAGTGTAGTGGGGGTGCTGACACGCAGGAGCACATGTCCCTGGGTGGGAACAGTCTTGGCTCCGGTGTGTAGCACCCCCTGGAGGCTCATCTGAAAAAACTTATCCGATGGCAGGCCTGCATGTGCATAGTCCCCATGTGGGACTACACAGAAGATCAAGGATGAACACTTTTTTACTTTTTGGGGAACTTAAACCCCCCCCCCCATGTATTTTTTTGAAGATTTGAGATTTTTCTGTAAACCTCCAAATTTGCAGAAAAATATCTTTAGTGGGTTTAGATATTCACAGATGGGAGCCACATGTCACTAATAGTGTGTGTAGCCTTGTAATGGAACAACAATGGAACATCTACTGTAACAGATAAAAGGAACAGGCAGTATCATTTCTAGTATATAAACAGGCCTTTGGCTCCCTTCTCACCTTGTTTATATCTGCCTCTGGGTTTGAACCAGTCAAATCTACACATACTACCTAAATCACTGTGGGTTTGTTTTGCTTTTCTGTTACTGGTTCTCATTTTGGAATGTAAGATATTACAGCCACAGTGTGCTAGACAAAAAGTTCTTTTTTAAAAAGAATTGTTTTTCTCTGGCATGGCACATTTGTTGATACATTGCTCGAAGAAACTTAACATTAACCATTTTGACAACTTAAAAAAGCAGAGGGAAGGAAGAAAACTGCAGCCACAACTATCAGAAACTATAGCAGAAACACAACTATCACAACTATTACAAAATAAAATATAAAATATGCCAAACTTTCTATATTCACCTTAAGGGAAATAATGCAGAAATATATTGCAAAGAAAAATTCTCCACCACAAATGGACCCTAAGAAGAAGTGGGAGGGGGAACAATATCAGGAAGAGGGAGACTCGCAACAAATGGAATTGCCAATAATCATTTTTTTAAAGACAAGAAAATCACCTGAAGTGGGTGGAGAGAAGGGCCTTATATTGCCTGGGCTCCTGGGAGGGAACACAGTGCGTCACTCTCAGTAAAGGCTGAGTACCTGGTGAGGAGCAGGAGGCAAGTCTTGCCCCCAGGAACAACACCACTCTTGTATTCCTATGGAAGAAGGGTCAACTGGGACACTGCTAGACTCCGTGGCAATGAGACCGTTCAGTTTGCCTTCTGCTTCTAGTTTCTTACCGGAACAGGTTTTAATTGTTTCCAGTTAACAGGATCCTAGAATTACTGATCTCTCATATGCCATCAATAGGAAAGTTCTGCCATCTTATCCCTTCCGGTCCTATGATACACAAATTTTGTTTGCCTGCTGTCCAAGACTTTGGGCAATGGGCTGTCCAAGGCAATGGGGGGAAAATGTGCAATTCACACACTGGCAAGATGGATAAAGAATGCCAGGAAAAGACTAGAGAGTTTAATAAGCATTTCTGTACATTTACTGAAAAGGGTGTCCTAAAGAGGATAATTGAGACCATGCAAATTACATTTGAAATCCTAAACTATCAATGTAAACTTAACAGACCTTCAAATCCTCAAGTGTCAGTGTAAGCTTAAAAGATCAACTATGATTTAAATCAGCTTCAACTCCACACCAATCCATAAAACTACTGGAGCATTATTTCAAATACACTCACAAAGGTCTTTAGCCAACCTGCCCATGAATACCCAAGCAAGTCACTTAAAGACTTGCATAAGAACAAATTAAAGTACAACTTCCTTGCCTGGAGGTGATTTTACATACCATATTAATCTAATAAAAGGTTATTTTCAAACCTATACCAAAAAAACCGCCTTAGAATCAAACCAACATTAGAAGGTCATTTCCGTGTTTCTGTGCTGGACACATGCATCATAGCTAGTTAACAGAAGTGCCTCAAACTTATTCAGAAATCAAATGTATCCAGTACTATGGCTGCAGTCACACACAAGAAATATTCCACTTTCAATCCACTTTCAGTGCACTTTCCAACTGGATTTTACTGTGTGAACTGGCAAAATCCAGCTGGAAAGTGGATTGAAAGTAGACTGAAAGTAGATTATTTCGTGTGTGTGACTGCCGCCTACAAGGCTGAACCAGTCACAACAGGATTAATCGCCACTTTACTAAAGTAGCCTAAATTCATGAAGTCTAATGACAATATTTTGAATTAGTGAAAACAAATGAGAAACAACTTAACTTACAATGGACCTTTGCAGCTTAGCAACTGCTATGGTTTACCTTTAATATTAATTTTCAGGCCCCAGAATAATGTTATATCTTGTTTGTTGGGTTATGAATTGACAACATTAAAATTAAAGTTTTAAGTATCTACTCCATGATCATTTTAAGAAGTAAATATACCATCAGCTCCTCAGGATCACATCTGTAATCTAGACTATACAGATATGTTCAGTTTTTTTAATAATGTGTAAAGCACCCAGAATTCCCAGGGGGATTAATACAATTTCAGGATATTCAAGACAGAGGCAGGACAATACCACTCATTAGTATAAAATCTGAGCAATACTCACTTCAGTCTTGGACAGTTCAAACCAAGTGCTATGAGAGAAGCATCTGTAAGGTTTGTACAACCAGAAACACAAAGTGACTGGAGTCTGTGACATCCTCTACAGATACCCGCTATGCCTTCATCTGATATTTGCTGGAACAAAGAACGGTGGAACATTTTGTCCTCTAATGTTACATGATCTATTTTAAGATGTACCAAGTGAACACAATGTATAACATACTATTTATTTTCACAAGGACAATATCCTAAATCATACTTTGAAAACAAAGTTACCTGAAGAGGTGTTCTATCAGACTCAGCCCTCAGGTTGCTTAGTAGCATGCTATGTCAATTACAAGTTGGATCTTCCTTTAAGTCTTGATCTTGTGTTTGATACTACTATACGTTTTAAACTACAGCTACATAAATTGGGAGTGAAAACTGTAACACAAATACATGTATTTTGCTAAAGAAAGAAAAAATACTAGCAGCCAAAAAAAAAAAAGATGTAAGCATCTCCCTAACATCTAAAATGATGGAAGATACTTCATGCAACACCACTGCTCAAGATGATTCTTGAGAAGATAAAAGCTGAGAAACCTGATAAGATGTCAAGGAGAGTAAAAACAGGTTGCTTACCTGTAACTGGTGATCTTCGAGTGGTCATCTGTGCATTCACACCCATGGGATCTAGTGCGCACGCGCTGGATCGATCGGTGCTGTAGCAAGCTCTTTTAACGGATTTTCGCGCCCAGTCCCTCGGGCATGTGCATGCCCAGAGGGGTGGGCGCGGACATCCCGCTAGTTCCTTCAAACCGCCGCAAATCAACCCATATTAAAATGTAGAAGCAGGCAACAGCGGGGAAGGAGGGCGGGTGGTGTGAATGCACAGATGACCACTCAAAGATCACCAGTTACAGGTAAGCAACCTGTTTATCTTCGACGTGGTCTCTGTGCTTCACACCCATGGGAGATTAGCGAGCAGTGGCCTACCTGGAGGAGGGTGCTGGCAGGTCCTTTACTGCGTAGCCGAAGATAGAATGTGACGTCCCATGTTGGTATTGGTGTTCGTACGGACGTCTAGGGCGTAGTGCCTGATGAAGGTGTTAGGCGTGGCCCACATAGCGGCTTTGCAAATGTCCATCAGGGGCACTCCCTGGAGGAAGGCAGTGGAAGTCGCGACAGCCCTGGTAGAATGAGCCCTGATAGGGCCAGGCAATGGCTGTTTAGCGAGTAGATAACATAGACGGATGAGACCCACAATCCACTTTGACAGGCGCTGAGCTGTGATGCGAGTACCCAGCCGTGATGATGCGTAAGAGACGAACAGTTGTGAGTCTCGTCTAGTGGAGTGTGTCCTATTGAGGTAGAACAGGAGAGCCCACTTCACGTCCAAGGTGTGCAATAGTTTGTCCTCCTCTGATGTCGGATTAGGGAAAAAATCAGGGAGAAAGACCTCCGCCTGCAGGTGGAACTCTGACACCACCTTCGGCAGGAAGGAGATGTCCGGTATGAGGCGGACTCTGTCTGGCAGAAAGGACAGGTAAGGTGTATTGTGCCGGAAAGCCAATATTTCTCCCACTCGTCCAGCCGAGGTGACATCAATTAAAAAGGCCGTTTTCCATGCTAGAAGTTTGAGGTTGCATGTTGCAAGCAGCTCAAAGGGCTTCCTCGTGAGCTGGCGGAGAACTAGAGGAAGGTCCCAGGGAGCGGCTGGAGTTTTGACAGGAGGGTAGAGATGCAACAAACCTTTTAAAAAACGTTTTGAAGTCGGATGGGAAAACAAAGTGCATCCGTCAACTGGAACATGGTAGGCCGAAAGAGTGGACAAATAACCTCTCAACGATGAATGGGAAAGTCCCGAGTCAGCTAGGGAGAGGAGGAATTGGAAAACTCTTTCGAGACCCACTGAGGTGGCTCGAGGGGTGTCATCACCTAGGGAAGAACAGAACCTTCGCCATTTAGAATTGTAGGACCTCCACGTAGTAGGTTTCCTGGAATTCAAGAGAACGTTCGCTACACGGGTGAAGTCAGTGACGTTATTCTCCATGCCGTCAGTTTCAATTGTGGTATGTCGTGTTGTAGGAGGGGGGAGTCGGAGAGGAGGAGTAGTCCTGAGCCGGAGGGAATTGATGGTATATCCCTTCTGATAACTCAAGGACTGTTGAAAACCAAGATTGTCTCGGCCACCATGTGGTTATTAAGATAGAGTCCGCGGCATCTCTGAGTATTTTGCGGAGCACTCTCAGAAGCAGAGGGAGGGAACAGGTAAAGAAGTCCCGTAGACCAAGGGTAAAGGAGACAGGGTAAAGAAGTCCCGTAGACCAAGGGTAAAGGAGACCGTCTCCCAGAGATTGTCGGTCTCTGCCTCCTCGACTGCAGAACAGAGGACACTTTTTGTTGTTTTTGGTGGCAAAGACATCGACTTGGGGAGCTCCCCACTTGTGGAAGAGTGGGAGGAGGTATGTTGGGTTCATCCCCCACTCGTGAAGGCTGAGTCCTGCTCGACTTAGATGGTCTGCCTGCACGTTCATGTGTCTGGGAATGTGAGTGGCTACGAGGAAAATGTTGTTGGTGATGCAAAGCTCCCACAACTGGATGGCAAGGTTGCAGAGGCGTAGGGAAACAGTGCCTCCCTGTCTATTGACATAGGATAGCGCCGTGGTGTTGTCCGTGAGGACCATGACACATTTTCCCTTGATTAAAGGTAGGAAGCTGGTAACAGCGTGTTGTATAGCCAGGAGTTTTAGGAAGTTTATGTGGCGCTTCCTCATCTGCGCATCCCATTTGTCTCCAACGGAAAGGCCCATGGAGTTTGCACCCCATCCGGAGGGTGGAAAGGTGCTCCCTGGAGGATATTTGAAGGGACAGTCCACCAAAGTAACGAGTTCCATATGCTGGGAAGAGGGGATAGGAGGATGATGTGTGCGTTTTTCGATAGATCGTAGTTGTGGATAAACCAGAGCTGTAAAGGACGCATTTTGAGTCTGGCAAAGACGAGAACCGACGTAGTTGCAGCCATCAAGCCAAGCAGCCACTGAATTTGGAAGGCAGTGACGGAGGGTCGGGTACGGATGACGGTGGCTAAGGAAATGATATCTGCCACCCTGTTGTGGGGCAGGTAAGCCATGCATGTCTTGGAATCCAGTATAGTGCCAATGTACTGAATTCTCTGGACCGGACACAATTG